CCCCCCCCCCCCCCCCCCGCCCAACCAGCCAACGTTGTGAAGGATCGGGATGCTAGACCTTCTGCAGAGAGGCTCGAGGGGTGAACTCTTTTCTCGATGTACTTTACCCTCCTAGAAGCTTTGTAACTGCTATGTAGTATGGTCCCACCGTAAGAAATTACGAGCATGAAGATATTGCCCGTAGGAGCAGGATTAGCGAGGTTAGACCCCTAAACCGCGTCCGTGGCATTGGGAAGATTGAGCTGTGGGGTTGGTATAACCACGCGTTTGGACCGGTCGTCCGGCGTCAAGGGGCTTGCCTGCCGTGGGGACAATGCTTGTCTGACCGCAATAGGGTTTTCAGAGCCGCCTGTGTATTCGGGCATAGCTGTAGATGGGAAAGGGGACATGATGGTGCTCAAACCTGGGCTGAGATCTGGCAGAGATAGGTAGCAAGATGTTCTTGCATCATATGTCAGCACTAACTTCTAAGTCTGCAAGAGGTACGGATTAGAAAGGGATAAATAATCTTTGATTCGGTGAAGACGGCACAGGGGGTCGAACCCTACATCCTCGGGTACGATCCGTATGTATTTGCATGTGGAAATACGGAATATTGGGCGTGGGAGTTGAAACACTTGCCGGACAAACTATTGAGTGATGCCCAGAAAGTAATCTGCGGTCATCCAACGGGTGCGTGAAGTCTTGTATGGCCCCGTAGGTATCCTGACTGCCGAGTTGAGGAAAGGCGAAAAGACACAAGCTTGGTAACGAGACTTACCCAGTGATGAGTGACAGGGCTTATGGAAACGGTGTTGAGGTGCTTCGTACGCCGACTAGTCCTAAAGGGTATAATGCAAGGTTGATGATGATGATGATGATGGAAAAGAGACCCTTGACGGTATGGAAAATTTCCTTCTCCTTATTCTACCATTGCTCTCCCCTTCATTCGCTTGTTTTGCTGTTTTCATTAGAATACCTAGTAGGTAAACGCTCGACCTTCCGCTTTGGCTCGGTAACCCCCACAAGGCTACTTACCACTTAAAAATGTTACGAAGTTGGTAATGTGTAATTTTTATTTTCCCACCCTTTATCGGTTCGATATTAATGAAACGTGGTAAGATTACCCAGCGTAGGGGGGGGGGGGGTACTGCGGGCTCTCTCCGGCCTGTTGTCAGACGTAGTATTCAGTATTTCAGTATTTCAGTATTCAGTGATTTACAAGCTCGTGGGTAAGGGACAAATACCGGGACAGTCGTATGTAGAAATACGAATTGGGGTCATGTCTTGTAGCGAACAGCCGCGCCGGGCTCCGGACTCACCGGCAGCGTGTTCCCACTCAAGACCGATAGGATGCGAATACATAGGGTCGGGTAGTTGCGGGAACAGCCGAGGGATGACAGTGGTAGTCCGCCAGTCTTACGACAGAATTTAGATGTCGACCGCTTTGTTGCTCCCAGAAGGGCGGAACGCAAAATTCTCGGCATCATCCCAACTGCCCAGTGTGCCCTGTCTAACCCGACGATCCTAGCTCGATGAGTGTTTCCGAACTGACTAAGACTGACAAGGCTTAAGCTGTTGTGCTGTGTATGCCGTGTTTGTGTACGGATTAGACGAGAAGTACATCGTGTGATGCCTATGTACATAATGTAAACCTGTTAAGGAGCCTATCCAGGAGTTGAGATGTGATAGCCTAGCTTCGACCTTCCTTAGGTGAAATGGTGACATGCTTGTTTAGGTGGTCTTAACAGGAGATACTCCCACAGTTATCAGATTCTGGCACCAAGATCGTGTCCGTTATATCAATGAACACAAGAGACACAAGAGCACAAGGGACACGGACTGCACGCAAGCCGTGCCACCTCGGGTTGAATTTCCGCGTTCCGGCAGGCAAGTCAGGACCCGAGAAATTGCGGAATGCGCAAAGCCCCTTGATATGAAATGATTACCTTATTCTCACCTACCTGGGTAGATCCTCCAGTCCGGGAAGACACCCTTGTACAATCTGCACGGATCGATTGGTTTAGGTATCGTACCGATATGTATGTAAGTAGAAAAAGAAGCCTGAAGTACGTGGTAAAACGTAATATTACATAGGTATTTTAGTCCCGGCTATCGTTTAACTCTAATAGTGAGTGGTTGCATGAGCAAAAAGGAGGCTATTCAATAAAGGTAACCCGAGAATCTCTCCGCCCTCCGCCTCTCTTATGAGTCTTGGCATATTGCTCGGACTTACATGCTAAGTATGTACCTTACCTTTGCGGCGCCACGGGAACTATACGAGGTATGCATATGTTTTATATATCTACTTCGTAGGTAAATTTTTATCTATGTATATGTAAACACATCCCGATATAGACAGACTCGCATAGAGACTCGTACAGGGCAAAATACCTAACATACATACATGAAGGCCATGCGACAAGAAGTTCAAGCGGCCTCTTCTGCGGCCACAGCATACATATTAATACATGCCTGTATGCAAGTACCGGCAGGCAATCATACTTACATATGTACCTAAGGTCCAAGGTGAGCTACGCTGCTAGGTAGGACACACCTAGAGCAACGAGTACCGAAGACAGGTCCGCTCGTAAACATGGTATTGGCTACGCTTCCTACCTAATGTATCCAACTATGTAAGTTATGTCATAATCCGTAGTTTAGGTAGCATACCTGGGTAGGTCTGTACTACCGATGGTGCAAGGTGCAAGGTGCAAGGTGGCAAGGTTACCAGATGAGCAGCCTACCCCAAGGAGACCCAAAGTATATACGTATTACAGCAGCTAGCCGCGGTAATAGGATCATAATAATTCGATGATTTTTACGCTGACAGGTCGCACACGCGTTGTACTCGTATAGAAGTACATACGGTTATACGGTAATACGGTTATACGGTAGTTACATGAGAACTAAAGTAAACATGCCAACACTTCCCTTCTCGGCATCTAGCCGTGCCCAGACTCGATGCTGGCGCCGACATATCGGATGCCGTCACGTCACCGTCGAGGATTTACATTCGTAGATAGGTTAAGTACCTTACCTACTTCTACATACGGTTATTATTATATGATCAGTAAGTACCTATATATGTATTATATTATGTATATAGCTTGCGCGGCTAAGTAAACACAGCCAAGAGATCGCTACGGTTATTATGATACCTAGCTCTAGCCCCAAACTGGTGGTCTTTGCCGCTTCAGACGCACGTACGTGTATCCATATATAACATATAGCACATAGCACATAGCATATAGCACATAGCATATATCATATTTATATACATGCAAAGAAGCTACCATCCATCATAAAGAACAAGTTCGCTCCCCGTGATACAAACTGCTATATCTACCGCGTTGGTATATAATGTCGCTACTCGGGTTATGATGATCTCCCAGCAATGTCTTGTTTCGCTTCCTAGTTCCTAGCGCAGCGTCGGTTTAGATGCCGAGCAAGAACAGGGTCGCCTTATTACCGTACCAGAGCCTACTCGAACTAGGTACATCATGTTGGTCTAATACCAACTACAAGGAGTTGGTGCCTAATGACAAAAGGGTTCCCCACAAAGCTTACGACCTTTATTCAAAGCCTGGACTGTTTTGAGACGGGCCTAGACGCTTTTTTGATTAGCAACGTGGAACCCTTCTGCTTCCTTTTACATACAATAACAATAGTACACACCTCCTACTACTACATACACTACCTATGTACAGCTATGCCAACTATGAACTATTATTCTGTTCTAGCACCAAGTCCACTCTATTCGTATGTAGACCGTAAACCCTACCACCAATATTGCATACTTTTTCACCGGTTCATCAAAACAAATGTTTACAAGCCCCTCCACCCGAGGTGTGCTTGAAACCCTCGGTAAGGTCACCGTTGATTATCTTCGTTATACAAATGTTTGCCCGTGCATTGCACATTCAAGGTATGTAGATATGCTTTTTCTTTTCTTCTCGCGAGCTTTACTATGTAGGTACACTAGCCCCGGGACTAGACTACGGATTATGGGCCGTTTTGGCCTCGAACCCCCCCGGTCCGGTTTCCGCGTAATGCCCTAGCACGCGTTAGTACATAGTAGTTTTCCATGTGTTTCGAAGGATTAGCGATTAGAGTAGGGCGTAGTGGAAATTTTGAATCCTTGGGCAACCTCTTACCACTTATGAAGGGGTTTGGCAATTATAAGGCTAATTATAAGGCGGCTGGGTATTATCTAGGAGGCGTCAAGGGGTAACGAACGTCTGGAAGGACTCGGGAATTATATTCCTAGCAAGGGCAGTATGGTACGGAATACATACCTACCTACCTACCTACGAAGTACATAATAATTCACGAAAAAGTGGTCCACAAATCAGTCATCAAAGCAGTCAAGATGTGGTCAAGTGGGTAGATCAATTCTGAGCATGCATAGGCTCTATGATAGATAGGTTCGAGTAACAATGACAGTTTTCGGCTCGAGTTAAAGAAAACCAGGTGACCTGAAACCTCAGGTTATCAGACAGCTGCGCTTTTTTCTTTTTTGCAAGATTTCCAAACCGGAAATCCATAGATGGTGAACACATATCCAACACATATTCGATAACAATATAAACGTCTTCATAGTGTGCCCAAGACGCGACTGACAAAACTCATGTTGGCCTGAGGGCAAGGCACGCCCTAAGACTCCGAAACACCAACGTAGCCGTCCACCCAGCTTGCCCACAAAACACATCTTCATCCCTACTCGGGGTAACCAAGATACTTGCGCCCAATAATGCCGCTTTTTTTTCGTACGCCATTCGCCGATTCGATAGCTAGTAGATGTATGGAGTGCAATGTAAGAAGAGGTATATAATAATCCTCTAAGTATGTTGTATGAACACAGTATGGTCCAAGTGCGCTGTCGTATGCGTGCATGCTTGATGTTGTCATCATTTCGGGGATCGTATTAGAGCTTGGAGCACGCAACCAAACACTGGAACAAATTCGTCATCAGAATGCTGGTCGTGAACGCGCGAGAGCGCATGTAATGCTAAGAATAAGACGCCATCTATAATATGACGCAGCGTCCGTTTCCACCTCCGCCTCGGCGGTTCCTCCTATACCTATCCCCAGGTTCCCTGTGGGGAGCTTCTCCATTTTGAGGTCGTGGACGGCCGGTTTGCGGCATCGGCCGAGATGCTTGTTGTCGCTGTCTACGTAGGATCCTAACGACGTCATAGAAAGCCTTCTCGACGTTTATGCAGTTCTTGGCCGATGCCTCGACGAACTCGCAACCTAACTCCCGCGCTAGAGCATGACCTTCTTGGGTCGATACTTCTCTTTCCGTTACCCGGTCGCTCTTATTACCAACCAGCATAATCGGCACGGCACTTGGGGGCGTTATTGTAGATATCGGCGAGCCAGGATAGGTAGGTGATGCTGAGCATGATTCTTTTACCCGTTGAATCTGGTGATGAAATTTCTTGATTCGGGAAAACGATGACCGAGACGAAATACTATAAACTAGTACGAAACCCTCACCATCGCGAATCCACTGGTCTCGTAAGGCTGTGTATTCTTCTTGGCCGGCGGTATCCAATACTTCCAACATACAAGCCTGGCCATCTATGACGACTTGTTTTCGGTACGAGTCTTCAATTGTCGGGTCATACTATATCACAGAAATCGTTAGCGACTGTATTCTAGATATTGGTTACGCGCGCAAAACTATAAAGCTAGTATGGGAGTAGTCGCGAACATAATCTACTTTTAGGGGGGGCGAGAACTCACAGTTTCAACGAAATGTTGTAGACATAACTGAATTGTCAGAGCTGTTTTACCGACACCACCGTCACCGAGGACCACCAGCTTATAAAGCACCATTTTTCCCGCCATGTTGTAACTTGGAAGCGGTCGCACGGGACCAAACAATACTCTTTATTTTTTTTTTTTTTTTTTTTGTTTTATCAGGTGTGATGAAGAAATGGAGACGGAAGCAAGAGATAAAATCCTCAAGAGAGCTGGTATAGACTCAGCACGGGTATAGTAGGTAAAGTGGCCAAGTTGGTCGGGCCGCAGTAGGTATTCGGCTATGTTGAGGTGATTTAGAGGGAGAGTCGACCCAGATGAGATGGGAAGGAGAGGGGCGAGTCAATTCGTCGGAGAGAAAGTGTGAGGAGTAAGAAGAACTGTATTGATCGCAGCGACGTCCGTACTTTTTAGCTCAAGACAAAAAACGGAGAAGGAGAGGAGGGAAGCAAGGAGCAGGGAGACGAGGTAGGTGTTCCTTGTAGAGGATTGTGGAGAATTGAGATTTTGGGAGGGCCTGAGCTCTATGTAGAAAATTAAGCGTAGACAGGTAGGTAGGGTAGGTAAGGTAAGGTACCTCTAATGTAGGTAGGGTAGGGTATTGTAGGGTATTGTAGGGTAGCGTATGGTAGTGCATGAGATAGGGAGATTCCAGACTCCGATTACAGTTGAGGGAACCTAGGAACCTAGGAACTTAGGAACCTGTAAGAAAGCTGGGATGGGAGAGGATTGGGCGAGGATTGGTAGTGCTAGGTAGTGCTAGGTAGTGCTGGGTTTGTTGCTAGCCGGAGGTGCGGTACAGTACCCGTTGCCGGGATGATTGATTTTTATTATTATTATTTTTTTTTTTTGAATTGGCGAAGCGGAGGTGGAGAGCGACCCGAAGCTAATGTTTCCCTGGCGTAGGCCCTGGGGGGGGGGGGGACTTTAATGGCTATCCTGGAGTCCTTGGACAAAACAGCCAACCAATGAATAGCTGCTCCCGGCGTAATAGCACAGGTGGCGCTGGGAGATGGAAGAGAGAGAGAGACCACTACTATGGGACCTGGGAATTAACCTGTTAACCTGGGACCTAAGGACCGAACCTAGGGACCGAACCTAGGTAGACCGTAGACAAGCTTGCCAAGGGGGAGGGGGTAGCTCTTGTGGAGTTGACGATAAAATACAGCTCGGTCGTTATATAAAGCCGTGCTCGCAGGTCTTATTACTTTTAACCCCTTAAACCCTTAAACTATTAAACCGTTGTTGTTCGACCGATTTGTATGTTGTATGTATGTCGCTTGTTTTGTCGCTATGTTACGTTGTTGACGCCGCGACGCCTTTCTGGGCTGAGCCGAGTTCCACTCAGGAACTGAATTGTAACTAAATTGTATCGTATCTTCCCATGTATCTAATGTATAAAAGCAAGGATCAAGTCAGTAACCATTAACCTTGTCGATTTCTGTCTGAACTAATGTGGAACCACGTTGACGAGATTGAAATGTTATCGTGTTATCGAAAATGTTATTGAAATGTTGCTGTCGAAAGGTATAAGGTTGAGCATGCAAGGTTGTATTTATTCTATAATATTAAGGTATGCTAGGTAGGTCATGTATGATAATTGCATTTAGACGTGGTAAAAGAAGAGAGCGAAATCATGTGCACCTTTTTAAGAGGGATGGGAGAAGAAAAAGGAAAGGGAAGAAGAAGAAAAAAAAAAAACTTTGGTGTGGGCGTGGATGCGATGCGAATACTTTTAACGCTTCAGACCAGAAGCGATGAGACGGTAATCCGTAAACTGATCCGCATTTGCAGAGAGGTTTTTTTCTGCTTCTTCTCTCTGTAAAGGTAACAACAACCTAACCTTAGGTACATACATCAAGTACCCGGATTACCTATGTGAGGATGTGAGGTAAGTATGTCATGTACCTTAGGTAATTTAGGTACTTACCTTTTGGTATACTTTTAGGTATATCTTGAAGTATTACATATAACGTCTTGGACTAATACGACTCGACTAATACAACCGCAACCGCAACCGTAAATATCTCGAGCTCATACACTACCTCATCTCTCCCGTCAATTACCACACAATACAACTTAATCTGAAGTCATAGAGTGTCATAACAAAACCCGAATATGATGTAATCAAGCAGAACTACCGGCACGTGCTTATATCGCTTCCTCGCTTGTTTTAACCTGAGCAGGTATCTTTACTTATATTTTCTTGGGGGTTTTTTTTTTTCGTTTTCTTCCGATTCCTTACCTTAGGTATACTCCTCTTTATCCCATCATCGAGCTCTGCGCTATAAATCATCCTTAATTTCTTACCGAAAGGGCGCATTGATTTCTCGGTGTGTCTAAGAACAAGTATTTTTCCTCGGGACTCCATTTTCGAGACGTAGGGGAGGTTTTTGAACTCGGCGGCTCTTAAAACAACTGAGGCTCAACAACCAATGTGCGTACAAGAACACAGTCTCAAACACCGAACTCTGAACTCGAAGAGCTGCTACGTCCGATTTTCGCTGCGTCTAAAGGTGGAAATGTATTCCTTGCATTTTTCGTTGCTACTATGACCGCAAGTATGTCGGTGTCTTTCTCCCTGTAGTCTGTCTTGAGGTTCCCAGATCCGCAGATACTGTCCAATACGGATTGCGAAAGTCTTTGACGGTTCAGCTCGTTTACTTGCCTGTTACCTTACGTTGGAACTTCTCGCATGACACGAGAGTTGTTCCAATAACAGGCATCAAAAGATAAGACAGCAGTTTATACGGCACTCGCCGAACTCGAAGACCAGTGCCAGATCCATATCATATCCCTATTCCCAACAAGTGATGCAAGTCAATCACCAAGTAGCTTTAAACGACAATTTAAACGACTGGGTTAGGTATAACTTCCAAGTCAAGACACAGTCCACATTTCCACAGGTCGACGAATGAATCCCTCCGTCAAACTCTTTCGTTCCGCAGCAATGTTACCATACCTACATGTCATCAATAGAAACAGCGAATAAGCATCATCGCGTATCTCCTGGCACGCACTTCGGTTAGGAAGTTTTACCCTTTTGATCGTCCACAGTCATCTTCGTCACCTTTACCATTGGTCAGCCTAAGAGGTGAAGTCTACCATATACGCGGCGTATGCGTGCGGCGTAGGTAATTCACATGGAGGTATTCCATCTTAACCGTCACGCTCGCTGATCTCCAGTCACCTTTCCAATCACCGTTTTAATTACGTTTCACAGGCGCAAGGACTTTTCACGTCTTGGCAGACCCCTCAAATTGGTCAAATTGGTCAAATTGGTGTTGAGGGGCGCGCGCCGTGTCCCATATGTTATGCGTACAGACTTAGCGGCGCTTAACTTGCGATACCGCATAGGTATGCGCAAATTCGCCTGTCGCGAACGAATAAAGTCGTACAGACGAAGCCTCTATGGTCTACCTATGGCCTGTGCAGAGTTGCTATGGACCTGGTCCCGCTGATGTCCGTGCCACTCACATCTAAACCTACTTTAGACGTTGGCCGATGTGACGAGATGCAGGCAGCAAACTATCCCGTCTCCGATTTCTCCTTTGGGATGGGACGTCTGTAAATGGTTCTCTTAGGACTTCAGAGTTTCCCAACTCATCTTCTGTTGACAAAGTGTCCCAGGGGTAAGTCTGAGATAAGCAATGAGATAAGCAATAAACTAGTAGGTAGTGGTGTGAAGTTGTGAACGAGGGCCTCCCATCCCTTTTCCCGGGTCCAGCTTGCATTGCCGAGACCAGAGTAAAAACACTCAGAATAGCTATAAAAAAAACTATTTCGTATCCCCTATAAACATGCCCCCATCCCCAGTCCCTAGAGATTATTATCCCTAATATTCGACCATGGATGGAGTGCATGAGGGTCCAGGTCTTCGAAAGGTAAAACGACAGCAAATTTAAACTGATTTGTCGTTGCACCGTTTAAGTTACAGTCACTTACTTCTAAGATCGACCATATAAGCCGAGATGTTCGACTTCACATAGACAGTAAAATAATCCATACACGACGACTCACGATCCATCTAGCATACAGGTTCCATTATGATAAGCTAAATATTAATATAGGCATTGTTGCTCGTAGGTAAAGCACCTTGTTCAAAAATCGACGTTTCCATGTGGTCAGCGGGATTTACAGACTGGGTATCCTACTCCCTACCTAGGTAGGTTTCCTCCCTGGGCATCACGAAACGTTTTAAGTATGCCGCACTATCGCTACTTTCAAGCTTCTTACCTCCTGCGGTTGCGACTAAACTGATAGCCTAGAAGCTATCCGGGCACCCGGGCCCGGAACTTCGCAAACCCTCGAATTAGATTGGTTGGGTTGCTAGTCTTCCTCACATCTCTCTATGATACATGACGTATCATTCAAGCTAGTTATCATTTTCGACCGTGAAGAAGAAATAGAATAATAAGTCCCTAGTTTTATCTTCGACCAACTAAGTATATCCATGAGGATAGGCACCTTTTACTCGGATATACCGAGTCTCCTGGCTACTTCAAAAAAGCCATCTTCACCCTGGGCAACCCAGAGATCAACCCATCCCCGAGCTTCCTTGTAACGGTCTTCTTCAGCGCCCCAAGCTTCTTCCCTAGGCCGCTCCACGTAGATCGTTCTAAGACCATTGGATCGCGCTCCCGCAAGATCCCCCAGATGAGCCGCAACCATAGCCACTTCCTCGGGTCGAAACCCAAGTGCATTTACTGCACCCAAATATGTACTCGGGTGCGGCTTATAAGCGCCAAAGTCGGCAGTTGATATTATTCTCCGGAAGCCTAGACCCCCGTACTCGTTGAGATCTTGGAGAATGGATTGGTTGCCATTGGATAGCGTCGATGTGACAAGTCGGGTCCCTAGTCGTTGGATGCCTGCCGCGGAGTCATCCCACGGTTTGAGATTGTGCCAGATCTGACTTATGGATCGCACCTCATCGTCTGCGTAGATGCCGGAGAGTCCCCATTTGTCCAGCAGTTCCCGAAGAGCGTCGTAGAAGTGAGTATCAATATCCTTCCACTCCGACTTGCCAGGCACAAATTCCCGTGTAAATACGTAGTAGGTCGCCCTCCATTCCTGTGTAAACGTGGCCCAATCGTCGTCAGTCATCGCTTTTAGGCGAGCCTGCGACGATTCGGGCAATGTGCCGAAGGTCGGAGACGTCGTCTTCTCCCGGGCACGCTTCACGAGTTCCTGGCGGACACTCGAGCGATAGTCCACAACCGTGCCAAAAACATCAAAGGTCAAGGCCTTGACATTCCGAAGCGCTTCGGGTATAGAAGTTGCCATTTTAGCCAGTTTCTATACGTTAGGTAGGTAGCATAAGAATACTACTCGATTACTGTCTGTAGTGACCTACGACATGTGCTGATGAGCAAGATTATCTAGACAGTGAAGTGATCCGGCTATCGGAAGGGTGGGGTAGCTGTACGCCTTTTTGCAACCGAAAGTTGGCAAGGCATATGCCGAGCTCCTCCTTACAAACCGCTTCTAGTCTCGATCTTCA